CTCTGCCGGTGTTTGGCCATGTTGAGGTAGTGCCCTGCTCTCCAGGGAGCAGGCATCTCGTTCCCGGGCCGGTATCCATGGGCTTCCTTGCCGTGCCCCGCCAGCCGAGGGGAGCTTGGCGCGGGGTGTGCTGTGTCGCTGAGGGTGTCCCTTTGGACATGGCGACAGGATAAATTGGGCTGCCCTCTAAACTGAGGCAGTTATTGAAAAATACAAGAGCGATATGACGTTGATCTGCGTGTGGAGGTTGGCACCTTATCGAGTATGCCCTTTTCCCCATCTCTGTTAAAGATTTTATGAGCCTCAAGTGGTTCGTGAGTTGGGTTGTGCTCCTGAGAACATCACCTCGGCAGTCGGCGTGCGGACGCTGTAACCGTGACCAGTGACCTCCCAGCTCCCGTCTGAGGCAGAGCCTGCTCTCCTAGGTGCACCTGAAGATTTCTTAGCATGAGAGAGGAGTTTAGAACTGGAATTGCTGTTTTTGAAAAAGCCTGATCTGTTCTGCTAGTTATAATCTAATATTTGCATCTGGGTTCAAATAGCAGGGTTAATACTTAACATATGAGTTGCTTTTGTCTTTTTTATATCTGAAACTCATTAGTCCCATCATCACCTTGCTCAGATTTTAAATTGTTAAAACTTGGATGCATTTTTGCAGAGGAGATATGCTGAAAGTGATTATTGATTTTTAAAAAAAACCCACTTTCACTAAGAACTTATAAGTATCCTGGTTTTAGAGTGCTCTTGTAGGTTATAGCCTCTTGCTGAGCTTTGAGCCTCTTATGTAGAGTAATACTCTTTATTTTTGTATTAATTTTAAAAAAATTGAGTACAGGAGGGCTGCTTTGTGTGTTGAAGGAAATCTGTGTAGTTTTTAAGAGCTAGTGATCAGGCACTGTAACCCAATCTGCTGTTAAGTATTGTATTGTTGACTGATCTTTCAGCTCCCAAAAACCCCTGGCAAAATAAAATCACTAGAGGTCTCAAGTATCTTTTTCTTTTGACTTAACTAGTTTGATAGTTCTAGCCTTCTTTGAAATGGAAAAACAAGGTGTGTTTTATCCTGCTCAGTACTGCACAAAACAATATTTTAGTGGCCACAGCAACTTGTAGAGCTGCGTTGCTCAGGCTTTTGGATATTTCATTCTTGGTCTTACCTGGTCTCCCACTGGATGTGAGAGCAGGACTCTTGTGAAGCTGGGTTGGTTTGTTGCTGAAATGCCCACATGGAGATTTAATGCTCAAGCAGGCCTTCCTGCTGCATCTGTAGTAAATATCTTTCAGGTGTTCCTTGTATATGATTAATAGCTGGTCAGTGTTCCACACAGTCTGGAATGGCAGTTCTAGTTCTCAGCTTCTCACTCATGCTATGAAATCTTCATGTGTGTCTAGTAGAGTAGTCTTCTGCTTCAAGAAGCTGAAGGTGAAGTTCAGAATTTGTTGGTCCAGGCATACATTTGCATGATGTCTGAAAGAAGCAATAATATATTAGATAGCTGCTTTCTGGAAAAAGCCTAGTCTGTTCCCCTTGCTGTAACATACTATGCAGATCTGGGATTAAATAACAGGGTTAAAGCCTTATGAGTGAGGTGCTTTTTTATCTTTTTTTCCTTTCAGTAACTTGTCTGCAGACTGTTGGGCCCATCTTCATCCTGTCAACATGTTCAACAGTGATAATGTCAAGTTCTACCACAGCAAAGCTCTCACCTCCCCGTATCCAGGATCACATGTTGAGCGCAGCCAGGTTCCTGAAGACAAAGTGGACTGGCTGGTTGAGTGGAGAGATTATAATCCTGTGGAGTACACTGCGATGTCTGTTTTAGCTGAACCCAAATGGGCAGATCCCCAAATCAAGTGAGTGGAAATTGTGGCTCTTTTCTCCTGTGAACATGGAAGGAGGAAATAGTGATCAGCTGAGTTAATAAGGTCATCAGCTTAAGTGACATGTGATTCTACAGTGATGTGTAAAAGTCAAGACCTGAATTGTTTGGGTTAGCTGTGAAGGTCTTTGACACATGATTTTACTGAGCTGGTTATTGAGGTAAGAGTAGTGTTAGTTGGAATAATGGACAGCTGTTGATGCTGTGTAGTGCTGCTTCTCTGTGTGGTGAGCTTAGTAAAAATCTCCTAATTCTCCTTAAGAATTTGGGAGAACATTTTCATAATATGCTTGTTTGTTCATGAATTGAATACAAGATGAGAAAAGAATTAAAGTAGAGCTGTAGTTCTTGAGTTGAGCGCTCTGACTCAGGAAATGTGACAGGTTGAATGCATGACTGTAATTCTTCTTTTGTGAATGTGTATATTCATTTTTATTGATTCTGTGAATATATTCGTATGCTTCTTGGCTAGAAAGTTAGATGCATGCATCTAGTGTAACTTGTGAGAGTGTGAAATGGCGATTCTTGTGTATGCACATTTGTTGAAAGATCAGAAGATAATGGCACTTGAGGTTTCAGCCTTACCTTCCTTGTTTCCCATTGCTGTATGAGCATGTGCTTCTGTTTGCTCTTAATTTGGTTTAGTATTCTGCTGATTGCAAGGCACACAACTCCTGAGGCTCTGTCAGGCTGCTGATGTTCTTGCCAAGGCACAGTTGGGAAAGTGTCAGGTAATCTTGTAGTAGGTGTTGGTAAGACTTGAAAAATGCAGAGTCATTTTTTAGGTATTAGTGTAACTTCCCGAATGAATTATGTGTGGAAGAAGCTAGTCAGTAGTTTGAAACTTGTGATGGTTTGAGAAGAATTGCTTTTGGGAAAGGAGATACACTTTTGTAGACAGATAGCTGCTTCTCTACCAGTTTTCAGAGGTGCACATACGAGATTGGCATTAAGCTAATCTTGAAAAGTGGTGATTATTAGCTTGTAACCTGGATAAATCATATCTAATAAAAATTTCTGCTCAATTTTTTCAATTAGCAAAATCTTTTTTTAGTTTTATCAATGGATAACATTCTTCTATGCTCTCTAACCTTAACAAGAATACCTTTGAAACACTTTGTTTAAATGAAAATTCAATGTTAAATACTTTAGAGGGGCACACTTATGTCTGCAGAACTAAATGCAGGGAGACTGTCATCAGCAAAGGTTGAGACTTTATAGCCTCCTATAGAAAAGGGAGGACCTGCGACTTAAGCTCTGGTAAAAACTGCTTATTGGTCAAATGGGTGTTGCTGATCTGGTCGTTGGCCTGCAAGCTTTTGTGGAGTGGGGGGGTGTTTTGTGTCTTATAACTGACCTTTATTAAATTATTCTTTTCCACACAGTGCTAAAGGTTTTTCTCCCAAATTCAATGAGAGAGATGGAGAAGTGGAGAGGAGGAGTCTGAATGGTTTGTATGTGGTTGAGAACGGGAGGCCCCGGTGAGTGGATTTTTTTGTTTGCGTATTTGTTTCAGTGATGTGGTTTCAGAGCTCTTACAGGCCTATCAGTTTTGATACATGGTACCTACTAGAACAAAATCAAGGTAGTCTCCCCTAGAGACAGGAAAAATTACACCACAGGGCCTGAGAGTTCTTTCTGGAAGAAGGTTATGGCAGAGAGGGACTGAAAGGTCAGCTGGTACTGCCACAACAGAGAGTTGTGGTGACACTGGAGTCAGAGGACGCCTAACACTGTTAATAGTAGGGTCTGTTGAATTAATTGTTTCCAGAGTTTGACCAGGTGTTGGGCTCTGAAGCTTTTGTACTGCTTGTGTGCTATGGTGGAGCAAAAGAGTATTTCCTTCCACTGAAAAATCCTGGCATAGCACAGGTGGGTAATCTCACCTGAAAATAATTTCTTTTCTTTCTGCCTTTGCACATAGATTCCATTTTCAGACAAGGTGGTGTGCACATAATGCTTGATCAGGAGTATCTTGGGGTACAAGATCTGGGAATCGACAAAGCCATTTTGTGTGTTTCCTTTCCCTGTTTTATCAAGCACAAAAAGAGGTTGATGAAGGAGAAAACCATGCTTTGTCTCTCTTTCTCTTTAAAGCATGTTGTGACACCAAATGTATGTTGCTATCCTTTCCTTTGTTGTTACTTAAGCTTCTTTAAAGGTGCTTTTTTAGAATACTGGGAGTGTATTTTGAATGTGAGGAAGTAAATATGTTTAATGTACTGTACCATTTATTTCAGAAATCCAGTGGGAAGGACTGGCCTCACAGGCAGAGGGTTGTTAGGGCGCTGGGGACCAAACCATGCTGCTGATCCTGTTGTAACTAGGTAAGGGACAGGTGACTGAAAGAGGCCCTGCAGTAGAGCAGAAAACCCCAGACATTTTGCTTTTTCTGTGCATCTCTGGGCAGCCTATTACTTTTTACGGGCCTTTTGTGTGTGTTTCTCTAAGTGTAAGCCCATTCAGATATGGATGTCTGAATGGAGAGATATATAGACATGTGGAACACAGATTTTGTAATTTTTTTTTTAGTCTTTGTCTCTGGAAAAGAGTAAGGACTCACTGCTAATTACGTAAAATCTTTTCTAAAATGCTGAGGAAGAAGATTAAAAAAAAAAAAAAAAAAACAAACAACAAAACAACCCAGGAAGCATAGTTTAATAGAAATACAAATAATCTTCAGTAGTGGATGTAAAAGCTGAAAGGGTTATGTGATAGTTTGAATACTGTGTGCGTAATATGCCAAAAGGCCTTAGATGAGGCATGTTAAATTGCAGGAATAAGTTTTTCTGTCATAGTGACTCAACCGCAAAGAAAAAAAGTGGTATGTGCCTGCTTTTCCTCTGTAAGAATTACTAACTTGGCCAGATATAGTATAGGAGGAGGTGGACTTAGGCTTCTCTTTTTTTTTTTTTTTTTTGTCATTGTATGATCTGTTTTACTGGTGCTTTTGCCAGCAGGATCTGTGTGTCCATGCTAACTATTTTACACAAAGAAAACATTCAGAAAAGATTGCGTAGTTAACAAAGGTGCAAGCTAGGAAGTGCCGTGCTGAAGATAAAAGCATTGTGAAAATTATCCTAATGTTTTTTACTTCTTTGTCTTTTCAGAAGGCTGCCAATGCTACTGAGTTGTTTCCTTGAAAGTAAAAGAAATGCTGTTTTTATTTTGTCTTTGTTTAGATAGCTTTTTGCTTTAACTATTGGTAGTTCTTAATTCCTACTGAAGGCAATGGTGGGTGTTTGTGGCCTTGTGCTGGTTCTAGGTGAGTGGTTCGGAGGTGTTGCAACCTGCATGTATGTTCTCTTCTAGCAGAAAGTATACTTGCCCTCTCAGTATGGCTAGGCACAAGTGCAGCTTGGTGAGCATTGCAGCTAGTAGGATGAGAGCTACGTCCAGCCCAAAGGAGCTGCTGCTCTCAGCATGGCCGCAAGATCTTGCGGGAAAGCATCCACTGGTCTGCCTCCGTGACTGTTCTTTCTCTGCTTTGTTTGCCCCCGCACAGGTGACTGTGCAGGTGCCTTGCTGTTCCTCTGCCAGGCCCTTGTGTCAAAGAAGCAGCAAAGAATGTTCTTGTTTGTCGTTTGCTGCAGGTGGAAGAGGGACAGAAGTGGCAATAAAATTGCTCATCCAGTTACTGGCAAAAATATCTTGCAGTTTGTAGCTATCAAGAGGAGAGACTGTGGGGAGTGGGCCATTCCAGGGGTAAGAGCAAAGCTCCGAGACAGTAAATGTTTTCCCGCTGGTAAGGCCACGAGGTGATAACTGGCGTGCGTGTGATAAGTGTGCTTTTTGATGAATGACCTCGTGTTGCAGAGGTGAGGAGAAATGCTCCTTAAACTAGCTTTGTCCAAGCATCAGCTGGTATGCCTTCTGCTGTTTCTGCCTTGGAAGGCGGTATTCCTATTTCATTCTGACAATGTCTTTAGCTTAGTGCAGGCACAATTTAATCCATTGCAGGTTTTGAAGGATGTGCATGCTTGCTCTTTACAACTAAGTGTAAAGTTCCTCTTATGTCCAGAATACGATGCAGGTAGATGTAGTATACAAAGAGCCAGTGAAAGGGGTGTAAAAACAAGTGGAACCTGAGGGATAATCACCTTTTTTCTTCCCCCCACCTCTAAGGGGATGGTGGACCCAGGGGAGAAAATCAGCACTACACTGAAGCGAGAATTTGAGGAGGAGGCCTTGAACTCCTTGCAGAAATCACCTGAGGAGAAAACGGAATTGGAGAAGCAACTCCACAAACTGTTCAGCCAGGAGCACTTTGTGGTGAGCTCTGTGTCTCTTGTGGTAGCCTCTTGAGCTATGCATGTAACTTGCAGCTGTATGGAACTTGAAAAAGTGTAGCTGAAATGAAAATAAGCTGTAATGTTCAGATTGTCGTGGTGTAGGAAATGGAAGGGACTATCAAAACCTTTGTAACGGCAAATGCATTGGAGAGGAAGAAAAAAAATCTTCTTACTGATTCCACCTTGTTTATTGTGGCACTGAGCTTGTTTTCGTTTGGGACCTTAGGTGTACAGAGGATATGTGGATGACCCTCGTAACACCGATAATGCCTGGATGGAGACGGAGGCTGTGAACTATCATGATGAAACCGGTGGGTATCTCCATGTGTGCTCTTAGTTGCGTTTTACTCTATGTGTCGGTTTGAAATTGGGGTGTATGTTGGGCTGAGATTGGCAATGAAATTGAGGGAGCATGTAAGTCAGATATAAAATACTGGACTAAAACCAAGGGGTGCGAGGGTCTCTTGTCTCCTAAGATATTTAACCATGACGGGTGGTTGTCATTTGCCTTTGGTTTCTGTCAGTTTTGAAATAAGGAACATATGGACTTTGCCTGACAATTTATTCATTTGTTAGCTGGTTCTAAGCCATGGACCATGTGCCTTCATATGGAGATAGAACATTGGACAAGGGTTCCTTGTCACTGTATGTACCTTGAATTAGTTTAATTTCCCTTTTTAATGAGTCTGGGGTGGAAGGATAGTTGGGTTTTTGTTGAATTTTTTTTTTCTTTTTTCCTTTAGTAGCTAGTGTGTGCTTCAGGAGCATTGTCTCTGGCCCCTGGCAGATTTTTATTGCACTTTTTTGCTTTGGTATTGTAATTACTTTGAAACCTTTTATCTCAGTTACCCTGCCAGAGTTACTGTTGGACCTTATTTTACTTATATAAATCAGTAGGAACAGGCATACATGGCTAGTTCTTAGATTGATCAGTTATCTTGGATTCTCATCTCTCACCTTAGAGAAATCAATCTAGGTGTCTCTGACTTCTTCAAGTCAGAGACTTCCTCTAGTGACATTTCCACGGTGTTTTGGGTAGTAGATGTCAGTGGTGAAGTTTCACATGGCACTGGTCCTTCGTTTATCAGCCCTCACAAACAGTGAAGATACTGTTTCTTTGGTCTTTGTTTCTAATACACATTTTGTAATACTTTTTAAAAGCATTTCTTTGGTTGTTGCCTGTGAAGTCCTGGAACTCTTTTTTGGAACCAGAGTAAGAAACTTCAGAGAGCAATTAGGAAGCCTTTCTGCATCCCTCCTTAAGTACTATTTTTGATTTTGGGGCTTTAAGTAAAGATGTAATTATTCTGGTTTTCCATAAGCATATATAAGTTTCAGAATTCAGTATGTCCTATAGAGTAGTACCTGAGAAAGGAAGCAGTCAGATGTTAGCCAAACAAACAAAAATCAAGGCAGAGAGATTGGCTAAACTTGTGGTGGTAAGTACATGTTGTCATAATGATTTCTAGTAACTTGTCATGCTGCTGATGGTACCCTAGAGTGGTGACAAGGAGTTAACACCACCTCTGCCACTCAGGATTTGCCTTAAAGTAGTGCAAGTATGAAAAAGCTTTCTGGCACAGAATCGGTGAGCAACTTAATCAGTTCTCTCTGAGAAGCAGTTGAAGGTTGCTGCCTGTGAAGGTGCCATGTAGAAGGGTGCAACTGATCGGATGTGAGAAGAAAAAGCAGGAAAAGACGCAATAGCATGTCCTAACTCTTGTTTTGTGAACAGGTGAGACAATGGATAAGTTGCCTCTGGAAGCAGGTGATGATGCTGGAGTGGTGAAGTGGGTTGACATCAGTGAGAAGCTCAAGCTGTATGCAAGTCATAGCTACTTCATTAAGCTTGTGGCTGAGAAACAGGGAGCCCACTGGAGTGAGGATCCTGGTCCTGCATGCCGTGAGTGATGTAAATGAGGAACTGGTGGACACCAAGGGGAGAATACATTTTCCAGCTTTGGAAGAGATGACACTGTCCTTTTCAGTGGAAATTCAGTGATAATTCTTTGAAATTCAGCTGGCAAAAACATTTGGCAGTGATTAAATAGAGGCTTTTTCAGATACTTCAGATTGCTTCTTTTGATTTTTTTTTAGCGTGAAATGAGATGAATGTGGAACTGTTACCTTGTTTTGCTTTCTTGTCTTCATTATTTGCAACCATTTCAGAATATCTGCAGATTTGCATGACAACACTGCGATTCTGGCTGGTGGTAGTTCAGAGCTGTTCACTTTAGCTCTGTATTTTTGCAATGATTTCTTGTCAGGAGTATAAATCCTTAAGGGATGTGAGACTTGTAGGATGATAATCTGAATAATGACTTAATTTAAGTGCTACATAATAAAGTGAAGTTTCTTTTCTGAGTCATTGCACTTAGCATGTTCTTTTCAGTGATTTTTCTATTTTGAGAGATTAGGTTTCACATTTATTTGCTTTCTAATTCACAATATGGATGGTACTCGCATCTGAATGTCTTATGGTGCCTTTATCTAAAAAGATAACTGTTGCAGGATGTAACTTGATGATGAGTTTTGGGAGCTGGATTTCGAGGTTCTTCTCTTCCTGCTGCTTATGGCAGTACAGCTGTTGGGGAGACTGTGCCACAAAGAGGATCATTGGAAAGAGCAGCCTTAAAGTATAATCTTGTAAATTGTGGTGATTTTTTTTTTTTACAGTTTAGGTAATGTGAGTAACTTGCAGTCAGGAGGCTGATGCGGGCCTTCTATGGCATGTATGCTGATAAGAGCTGTGCAAGTTGCTGACACTTCTTCCTGTGTTTTTAATCAAGGGGTAACTGCTGTTAATTGTGTAATAGTGTCAAGAGTTGGTGACGGTAACAGCTAAAAGTTGTGGCTGAGACCCGGGGAGGGGATCTTAATGAATTTTGAGCCGTGTTTTGAAGTAGGGTGGTGATAAATGTCATGGTCTGGAATGACCTTGTGTAACAGTACTGTGACATGCTCATGCATTGTTGAGACTGCTGGCCACATCCTGCTTAACTAATGGCCGATGTTAGGCCTTGCTTCTTTTCAACACCACGTCTTCCTCCCAATTAGCTAATGAAATCTGGAGGAGTCATGTGCCTTTATATGGGGAACCCTGGGAATCTTGTAGAGTTATTAGTATGTTCTTTTCAAAGGAAAAAGTTATGCTAAGTTATTCATTTCAATCCTTGCTCACCTCTTCCTGCACATTTGATTTCTTCTGTGGTCTTACTAAAGCAGCATAACTGCTTTATATTGCAGTAGAAGCTTCCATAGACTTGGTTTATGCAAAAATCATAGGTAAGATCTAGTGGTTGCTTAGGCAGAAATTATTTTGATTAATCTGTCCTCAGCATAGTGTGGAGACTGGGTAATATGTGGTAGGGCCAGATGAAGACCTGAGAGAACCTGTGAAACTCAGAATGGACAAAAGGCATAGCCAGCATCAGGAGTTCCCTTCCCTTTCTACCTGGTCTTTGGAAACAGGATCACTGAAATGACTTGGGTATATTTTTTTCTTAAGAAAAAATAAAAACAACTAAGAAATTTGATGCTCAGCATTTATTCAAGCTTAAAAAGTAATCAGTTGAGGTTTGAGGGAGCTGTGCACTATAACCCACACTGGCTTCAGAGATGGGTGTGTGAACCAGGACTTGGTTGTTACTTATCCTCAGTTTCCAGTGCACTGATAAGACAAAAGGTGGGAAGAAACTGTAGGAAGTTGAAGATAGAAGCAACAGTGTTCCATAGGAGACATCCATAGTTTTCGAGGTACATGCAGAGCAAAAGAGAATGGCAGGTGACAATTAATAGCAGTTAATTACTTTAATGTGCAATTAATACATTATGCAGAGCAGGCCCCTAGCAGTGTACTTGGCTTTTGAAAGCATGACCACAAAAGCAAACTCTTCTTAAGATCATGGGAGGTGAATGTGTAGCTCGTCATGGCTGAGAACAAGGGTGACTATACTGAAGCGTGTCAAAATACCATGATTTTTTCTTGAATGTTACTGTTTACATATGAAGTGCTTGACATAGTGTACAGTGCTAAAGATGAAAACAGGGGAAAATAATCTCAGTTCTGAAAGTACCATACTCGATGAGATAGGAAAAACTGCACTGTTTCTATAGCCAGTGTATTACTCCTGGAAAGCAAAATTTCTGTAAAGAATCTTTTAAGTCCTCACTAGTCTTGTTTTAAAGCCTTTTTTTTGGCAGGCTAAGTGGACTTGGCTATATGTTTTTTGGTAGTCATGGTTCCAGCAAAGCTTTCTGGTTAGACAATTTTCAGTTGGAGTGTGTGATCTTAGACGGTATGCTGTACAGAATGCAATTACTTTATGCGTATCCCAGTACCTTACTAATCAGGTCTTGATGCTTACTTGTGTCCTGAAATTTATTGCATAATTACAATATTGAAAGTTTACAAGTAAGCAAATATAGTGGCATTTCTTTTTGTTTAGCAAATCTTCTGGAAAATGGTCAAATTCTTTATATGGTTGATGTTATCTTGTATATTAATGCAAGTTAGATGTGTTGGGAAGTGTTATTTCTCAGCCCTACATGTTGTGCCTCTAACTTATCCTAAACTACTTTTTTTAAACATCTAAGAGATCATCTCTTGCTGAAGACTGGGATACCCAGACAAATACTCAGAGAATGTCTGAGGAATAGCAGTAGAATTTTGTGAAAGTTTGTAACTTCTTTTCAAGCTGAAGAAGTAGAGGTGTCTTGTATTATAAAAAAAAAAACCCAACACCCAGTTATCCCATAAAATGCATGTTCGCTAATTAGAAAGCAAAGTGGATTACTTTTCTCGAGCTTCGAAGATAAATCGTGGTCCTTCCCCAGCTCCCTTCTATGGTAGTTTGTCGGTCAGAAGCTGCTCTCAATATTCCTGACGGAGTGCTCCCTGGCCAGCTAGATCTTCCTGCAGTCTTATGTCCCGTTGTACTACAGGACAGTTCAGTTACCTCAGGTTTGAGTTGGAGCCTGCAAAGCAGCCCTGTGACCTGCGTGTCTAAAGAAGGGACCGACAGCTTTCATGAACCTATTTGGTTGCTGTGAAAGGAAAATCATCTTGTCAGGCTTTTCCTGTTCAGTACCAAAATCCCCAGTTAAATGCAAATGTTAGAACTAGTGAGATTCAATCAGTTTACAAAGAAAAGACTTATGTCCTCCATACCATCTGAACTGGAGCTTTCACTATTGATATCCTGTAGAAGGAGAATGAATTTTCTTTTAGAGTAAGGTATGATTCCTACTGCTTGTATTTCTTTAAATTTTTTTTTTAAAAGTCAAGTACCTCATTTTGGTTTTGATTTTTTTCTCTTCCTGTTAGAAAGCAAAGGTAGTTCTGCAAAGGGAACTGACTAATCTTCAATGTCCGTAATACTGTCAGCTGAAATGGTCAGTTAATGGAGAAAATACAGGCCCTGTTGTTGGGCTGGGTATGAGCTTGTTACTGGTGCTTACAATTTACTTTTTTTTCTTTAAAGTTTAAGGGGGCCTCAACAATAAGTTGAGAATCTAGAGTGGTAATAACATAAATAAGTTTAGGCCTGTACCAAACATGAGGATTTTTAAGGCTGCTGTGTTACTTTAAAAGCACGTGAGTTCCACTTTACAATGTTCACATTTCCCACACTGGATGCCTGTTTATTTTCTTCCTCAGTACTCACTGTGTTCGCAACAGCAAGAACCATGCTCAGAACATAAGAAAGCAACAGGAATTGCATTTTGAGAGAGTCCTGTGAAGCAGAGTGAAAACAAAAAGTTACGGTGTCCTGATTTTGGCAAAAGGAAAGACCTGGGGGGAGTATGGCTCTCCTCTGTGTAGAGAGAAAGGAAAATCAGACAGCAAGGACTGTTTCTAGTTGAGCATGGCTTGTGGTATGTCCTTAACTGTCATCTCTGTATCTTAGTTGCTCACGTACATGGTCAGGCTAAGTCATTATGGAGTAAAGGAGTAAAGCTTGCTATGCTTCGGCTGCCTTGCCTGTGCTCTGAGATCTTGTCAGTGCTTTACTTATTATCTTTGTCTCTGATTTTCTCTCTCCCTAATTTTACTCTTTCCTAACAATGCTTATGGAAGCCTTTTGCAATTTTTTGTTTTGTTTTAAGCAGAGCATTGGTATTTCTCTGAGTAGTTCTTGTCACGTGCTCTTTTTTCAGGCTCATGGAATGGTTGAGATTGGCAAGGACCTCTGGAGATGGTTTAGTCCATTCCCCAGACATGCTCAAACAGGGTCAGCTAGAGCAAGTGGTCCAGGACTGTCCAGTCAGGTTTTGAGCATCTCCCAGGATGGAGAATCCACAACCTCTCTGGGCAACCTATGCTAGTACTTGACCACTCTCACTGTGGATAAGTGTTTCCTCCCTATTCACACTCATGCAGTCTACAGCCATATCCCAAATTATTTTTGGTATGAAATTTAGTCCAGGTAACACTAAAGCATCTGTATGACGACTGGATTGCATGTTGTACAGCAGGCCAGTGGATCAGACAAAGTCGGCTTTGTGATAGTGTTGTGTGAATGGCTGGTGTCTATATACACAGCTTTGAGTACTATGGCTTACATCAGAAAACCACAAAATGTCATGCATTGTACCTTCTTAAGACCTTTTGGATGTTTAGATTACTTCTTGGCTGATAAAGAAGCCAGTTGTTTTTTTTATATGAACCCTACTAATCCTTGAAGGATTGACTGGTTTGGCAATGGAAGTGTGTATGTGTGTTATAAAAGGAATATCTGTTGTGTATTTTTTCAATATTTTGACTGCAGGGTTCTGCACTTTAGTGATGGTGGAGGAATACTTGGGTGATCATGCCTAGAGTACTGAAGCTGCTAACTGAGAGGGTGTGTTACAAATTCAGAAATGACCTCCTTTTTCCTGGAGAAATGGGAACTTGGGGGTTCAAGTCACTGCTGCCTTTTGAGGCCAGCTGTATAGTGACAGCATGCTTGCTGTTTGAGAGCTGGGCTTTCTGACATCAAGGTTAGACAAAAAGCTATTGAAAGACAAGTCTCTTAAATTTTCAATTACGGTGTTTGCTTGGTCCTTTTGTTTGGTGATTGTTTTGGTAGAAAAGTCTGAACTGATAAA